TTTTTTTTTTTTTTTTGGTGGAACTGGAGATTGAACTCAGACCCTTGTGCTTGCCAGGGAGGCACTTATTCCACTGAGCCATCTCCCCGGTCCCCAAGGTTCTGAGTTTGATTGCTGGTATTAACTAAAAAAAAAAGTCTTTTAACATTAACAGATACATATATAATTTAGTGAACGGTCTACAGGGTTTCACTATACAGATTGGACTCATAATGATTCTCCTATTTTCAGGCTCCCAAGTGCTGGGATTACAGGTGCGCGCCACCACGCCCAGTCTCAGTGTGCTGGGGTGTGGGGCTGCACAGCACAAACAGGGATGGAACCCTTGTCCCTGCATTTACCTAAGCAAGCACTTTAATCCGCTGAGCTATCTGGCTGGCCCTATATTTTTATTTTTTAAAAGTGCATTTATTGACATATGTTAGATATTTGTAATGATCACATTCATCTTGAGATTATGTACCTGTACATGACCCACCTTGATTCTTTTTTCTGTTCCTTTACTTTTTTTTTTTTTCGTGGAAGCGGGGATTGAACTCAGGACCTTGTGCTTGCCAGGCAAGCACTTACTCTACTGAACCATCTCCTCTGCCCCACCCTCTACTTTTTCAATCCTTCTTCCCCTCTGGGGATTGAATTCAAGACCTTGCGCTTGCCAGGCAGGTGCTTATCCTGCTGAGCTATCTCCCTGCTCTCCCTCCTTATTTACAAAGGCTTTGTTCTCATTTTTCCTTTGGGCACTCCCCCATCCCCCACTCCTTCCCTAGAGCTCTTTCTCAGGCTGGCCTCCAACTCCCATGATCCTCCTGCCTCAGCCTCCAGAGTGCTGGGATTACAGGAAGGTGCCATAATGCCTGTCCCCAGGCTAGTTTTTTTTTGTATAATATCTCATATTCTGGCTTTGTATAGTTAGATTAAGGTTAGTTGTTGCTTTCTCTTTTTTGGGTGGGGGTTTAGAACACTATAGAAGTAGCATAATGCTTTCCTCATTGCTTCCTATCAGGAAACATGGCAGTTTGACCCAGTATCAGTGACACTAAATTTGATCATTACTTGGTTAAGGTGCTGCCTGTAAAACTTCTCCCGTGTAAAGCAAATTGTTCCCAGTTGTAAATCACAAATACTTCAAGATGAAGAAATGTTGAATATCACTGGTTGAGAGATGCAAAATAATAATAAAAAAACCTACTGAGATTCCATTTCACCCAGGAAAGAATGGTTATCATCAGGAAGTCAACCAAGGGCCACCAGATAGCTCAGTGGACTAAAGGTCCTGTTTGGGCAGAGCGTAGCAGCCGGCGCTTGATCCCCAGTGTGGCGTACTGGCCCCAGCTGGCTGCAGGGCACCCTGAGACACAGATTGAGACTGCGCGTGGTGGCACGTGCCTGTAATCCCAGCACTTGGGAGGCTGAAAAGAGGAAAGTCACTATGAGTCCAATCTACTTAGTGAGACCCTGTATACCCTGTAGACCCTGTCCCAAATTCATTAAAAAGAAAAAAAAAAAAAATCAACCGATAACAAATGCTGGAGGGGTCGGGGAGATGGCCCAGAAGAATAAGCACTTCTCTGGCAAGTGCAAGGGCCTGAGTTCAATCCCCAGTTCCGCCAAGAAAAAAAACAAACAAATCAACTAAACAAACAAATGCTGGAGTGGCGGTGGGGGAAAAGGAAGCCTTCTTCACTGTTAGTGGGAGTGTAGACTGGTGCAACCACTTTCGAAATCAGTGTGGAGATTCCTTAGGAAAGTAGGACTACAGGTCTCACGCAACCCAGCTATTCCTCATGTGTTTTCCCAGAAGAATTAAAAACACCATACCTTAGTGATATATGTGCACCCGTGTTTATAACAGCACAATTTTGAATTGCAAAGTCTTGGAAATAAGCCAAATATCCATCAACCAAGGAATGAATAACAAAGTTGTGTTTTTCCCCCAGTATGATGGAGTATCATTCAGCCATAAAAAAGGATAAACCGGAGACTTTTATTGGTGCATGGATGCAATTTGAGACCATACTTGTAAGTGAAATAAATCAGACTCATATGTGCAAGCATCATAGTGTCCCTCTAGCGTGAGAAACTGAAAAGTAAATAAGGTAAGTATGTGTTAGTGCTGGAAATGTCATGTTATCCCTTTTTTTTCCCCCCCTTTTCAAAACTTTTAATGACTTCAAGGCTTTTGGATTTTCACAGTAATTTTTATTTTTTATTTTTTTAGGGAAGGATCTATAGGGTATTTAAAGTCTCACTACTAGATCAGCCTCGTAGTGATCCACCTGCTTACAGCGGCCCAAGAGCTGGGGTTACAGGCGCGCGCCACCATGCCCAGTCTCAATTGCCGGCTCAGCGCGCCCCAGGGCAGGGCCAGCACGGCAGGCCCCGGGATTGAACCCCGGCCCCAGCTTGCAGGTGCATTAATCCGCTGACCTATTTGGCCGGCCCAGAAAATTGTCATCTTAGTTTTTTTTTTTTGAAATCTTTAATTTCTCTGTAATGTTTTCTATATATAGGTCTCATAAATTTTGTGGTAAGGTTTATCACTATTCTCTATTGTAATAATTTTTGTGACCTATGTGTTTTGTTTTCACTTGTCAAAATGAAGTGGAAGTCTAATTGCTTTTCATTAGACATTAAAAAATAAATGTTCCAAGAGATGATGTTCAAGACTGAATGTATTGGGAGCCACGAACGTAGCTCAGGGGTTTAAGCGTCTGCCTGGTAAACTCAAGGTCTTGAGTTCCATTCCTGGTTAAAAAAAAAAAAAAAAAAAAAAGGAAAAAGACTACAGGTGCCCAACAGCCTTTTGCCCTGTGCACTAGCATTGAAGGGACAGGTTCAGGATTCGTGACGTCGTGCCTCAGTTTTCTCACCTGAAAAACATGATCATGGTTCTCAAAGGGTGCTTGCTGGTAGATCAGCGCTTGGCGCACAAAACCTTCCATGAATGTTACATATTACCAGATGAAGGCAAGCATGAAAAAAATTAAGGGCAGGGCGAGGACTGCATTCCAGCTCTCAGGATCTCACAACGGCGGGCGCGCAGATGGCGAAGGCGAGAACCGCCCGCGGGTCCCACGTGGCCACTACCTCAGTCGCGGAAGCCAAGCCTCGGAAGCCGGGCGGGTGCTAGAACGCCGGCCCGGGGCGCAAGGCCCCCTGGGACCCGTAGTGCTGGGCGTGGCCACAGGACTACATATCCCAGCGGCCCCCGCAGTTCGGCTTCAGCCGTGCCGCCTCAGACCCTCACAGCTTCGGCCGCGGCCGCGGCGGAGTCGGCGGTGCGGGCGGCTGCGGGCTGAGCGGCGACTTTCTGATGTAAAGCTGAGCTGTGAGGAAAATGGCGGCAGGCGGTGAGTGGAGATAAAGGAGGGGGCGGCGGCGGCAGCGGGCGAGTTGGTGAGGTGCGAGGCGGAGGGAAGAGGGCGAGGCGCCGGAGCTGCCGCGAGCCGGCGGCTTCAGCTCTGGGGAGGCGCTGAGGGGCGCGCCGGACTGGGGGCGCGCCGAGGTAGTTTGGGGGTGTCCGGGCCAAGCCTTTTCCCCTCAGCCTTTGGCAGCCCGCGGCATCCCGTGGCCGGAGCCAGGGAGCCCCGGCTTGGTGGCGGTGGGCTTTGGCGTCTGGGTGGGGGTCCCCGCACGGAGGGGTCACCGAGCAGTTTGGGGGACTGCAGGGCCCCGCCTTGCCCTCGGGTCCTTAAAGTTTTGTCTCCCGCCTGCCGTCCCCAGTCCCTGGGGCTGCTCCTGGCGGCTCCCGCAGCCCCTCTGCCAGCTTCCTCCGCAGCTCCCCGGAAGGACCGGGCAGAGTCGGCGGACCCCCGCCCAGCGCCCGCCTGCCGCACGCAGCCGCGGGCTGGCTCCTTGCTGCTGGGTTTCCTCCTGCGCCCGGGCATTTAAACAGGACTCTTGACGCGGAGGAGAAGGAGCTTGCAATTTCCATTTTGGGCTCGGGTAGGTTCGCAGCAGTTTGCTCAGTCAAAAGGCGTCAAGCCATCTCTGGTGTGAGGGCTCTGGAGTGGCGAGTAAGAAGTTACGGGATTGAATTTGGGGTTTAGCCGTGTTCCTTTTTAATGCGTATTATTAGTTTTTGTCTTTCTCATCACCAGCTTTATTTCGTTCATTGATTCAAGTTGTAATCATTTAATGAGTTGCATATGCCTTAAGAAAAACAAGCTACGAGTCGCTGGAGGAGGCTTAATTGCTTCCTAGGTAGTTTGAGGGCATCGAAAGTGGATTATTGAACCAAAAGAGCGGTTGTGAGAGGCACAGAGCATCTTGAAATTTCACTAGGAGAGGTTCAGGATTCACACGTGGAATGACACGAAAGGCAGGAGATTCTCACGAAGTTGAAACTTTTTTCTTCCCAAATGCGAAATCTATTTGCAGTTCTTGAGCAAGCGCTTCAAAGCCAACCTGTTTTTGTTATTAAGCTTGTGCCGTAAAGAAACAGGAAGGATAGTACCAGCTGGCTTGCTGCAGTGGTTTTAACTAGAGTTGAAAGAGATGAGTGAGAGTGGTAGTGTAAAGGAAGGTTGCTGCTGCATCTCCTTGATTTAAATGGTTGCCCTCGATCCAACTAACAGATCTGGCTGCAAGAAAGCTTAAGTGTTTATTGCAGCAGGTTGTTTAAAAGATGATTGGGGGGAGAGTGGAGGAAATAATACACCTTCAGAGAATGCTGCATAAACTGAAATGTTAATGGAAACCTGTAAGATTGTGAACAGTTCTTTTAAAAATTCCAAATTACTAAACCAGGCCCGGCAGTACGTGCCTGTAATCCCAGTTTTTGGGAGACAGACGAGAATGGCAGGGTTCAAGGTCAGCCTGGGCTACTTAGTCAAAACCCGCTTGAACTGCATAGTGAGACCCTATCTCAGGAAAAAAAAAATTCTTTTTAACTTAGGTGAGGTGGCAAATAGTGATAGTCCCATCACTTCAGAGGCTGAGGCAGGAGGATCACTGAGTTCCAGGTCAGTCTGGGCTGCAAAGTGAGTTTGAGGCCAACCTGAACTGCATATTGAGACCCTGTCTCAAAAAACAAAATGCATAACCAACCTACCAAATGAAACTGCTTGCTTGCTTATTTATTTTTGGGTCCTGGGAATTGAACTGAGGACTTCATGTTTACTAGGCAGTTGCTGAGCCACTGAGCTAAATCCCTGGTCTGTTTCTTTATTTAGAATAGATTCTACATTTGATGCTCAACAGAAAAGACACAAAAACATTGAAAAAGGAGGCTCTTCCTTTCAAACCCTCCAATGACGATTAGCATTTTCTGGAATATCTTTTATTTTTGGACTAAAGATTTTTGTTTGAAACACACTCTTGTAGGTTACCCAATGCAGGGAAAATAAAATGAACAGAAAAGGGAAAATGTAGAAATACTATTTTCTTTATATAGTCTTTAAAAATGTTGGTACCATATCAGAATGGCTCACGCTCTCGCGCTCTCTTTCCCTTTCTCTCTCTCTCTCAAATGAGCAGAAGATATTTATTGAGGGAAAGAAAGCTCCTGTCCAAGAGAGGGACAGGAGGAAGGCCCGAGTGGGTGGTCCCCCCAGAATGGCACTTGTGAATTTACTGGTTATGTTGCTTTCTATTCTAATACCCTTAAAGAAATAATCTCTGGGTCTGTTCTGATAAGAAACACTGCCTAGGTTTATTGTTTGTGTGTAAGGTGAAGCTTCTGTTTATAATATGTAAAATGATATTGAGCACTGTAGCACTTGTCAGTGGAGGTTGCTTCAGGCTCTGCATTTAAATTAGTAATCTAAACTGCCTGTGATCTTAAATTCTGATTTTTTTTTTTCTTTTTTTTTTTTTGCGGACTGGGGGATTGAACTCAGGCCCATGCACTTGCCAGGGAAGTGCTTATTCCACTGAGCCATCTCCCCAGGCCATGGGCTCTTTTTTTTTTGGTTGGGACCGGGGATTGAACTCAGGCTCTTGCGCATGCCAGGCAAGCGCTTATTCTACTGAGCCATCTCCCCGGCCCCCTTATGGGCTCTTTTATATATTGATAAGAGTGATTTAATTGTCCCATCAGCATTAAAAAAAGGTGTATGTCAGCTTTTTTTTTTTTTTTTTTTTGTATTTTAGGGAAAGATTACAGGGTAGGGTGTTCAGGGTGTTACTATTAGGTAGGGCTCATAGTGATTCTCCTGTTTATAGCCTCCCAAGAGCTGGGATTACAGGCGTGCTTGCGCCACCACGCCCAGTCTCAATTGCTGTCTCATGCCGGGGGCTGGGCCGGCATGGCAGGCCTGGGAATCTCAAATCCTGGCCCCTTTGCCTCTCTTTTTTTGCGGAACTGAGGATTGAACTCAGGCTCCTGCGCTTGCCAGGCAAGTGCTTATTGTACTGAGCTGTCTCCCCAGCCCTACTTGCGGGCTCTTTAATCCACTGAGCTATTTGGCCGGTCCTTATGTCAGCTTTAGTAGGTGGTTTTTTTTTTTTTTTTGTTTGTGATTAGGTGTCTCTGTTCAGGCTGACCTTGAACTCACCATATAGCCCAGGCTGGCCTGAAACTTACGCAGAGATCCTTCTGCCTCAGCCTCCTAAATTCGGGAATTACAGGCTTGTGCCACCAGAAGTACATTTTGGAGATGGGGATTATGGACCAATTGGGAAGCTGTGATTGTTTCTAGAGCAGTTACAACAAAAGTTTGTACCAGAAAATGTCCCTTAACTATAGAGGCTTTGAAAATATAAATTCAATTGCCTGGCAAGCACAAGGGCCTGAGTTCAATCCCTGGTTCCACCTAAAACAAACAACCAAAAAACCCAAAACAAACCCCCAAAAACAAATTTAAGTCTAATGAAAGTATTTATATTTTTACTGAGTTTTAAAATTCTTGTGTGGGTCGGTGTGAACTGATAAAAAGAGCTATGCATGCTAGTCAAGCCTTACTACCACTGAGCTGCATCCTCAGTTCCTTTTTAGTTTTGAGACAGGGTCTTGCTTGAGTTTTTACAGCTGGCCTTAAGTTTGTATACCTCTTTTTTTTTTTTTTAAATTATTTGTGTGTGTGTGGCCAGCTCAGCCCACCAGAGGGCGGGGCTGGCTGGCATGTGGTGCTGGGGGATTGAACCGCGGTCCCTGTGCTTTTTTGCTAAGCTTGTTCTAAGTAGGTGCTTTAGACCACTGAGCCATCTCACCAGCCCCTGTATACCTCTTGCTTTAGTCTTTCAAGTAGTTGGGATCCCCTGCACCTGGCAAAAATGATTTTGTAAACTTGCACTTAATTAAAACAATGATATAGGCTGCTTCAACAAAGCAGTCAGGCTCAGGTTGCTGTGGTTTGATCCCCACAACTCAAGCCAGCCAAACCTGCCCTGAAGGCATTTGGCGCCAAAAAAAAAAACATTCCTTATAGGGCTGGGGAGATGGCTCAGGAGAATAAGCTCTTGCCTCACAAGCTCAAGGGCCTGAGTTCAATACCCGGTTCCGCCAAAAAAAACAAACAAAAAACAAAAAAAATAAACAATGATCTAAGAACTAAATCGTTAGAAATTATATTAAACTTAATATGTATCTATGGTAAGTATATTTATAGTTGTGTATATTCAAGTATAATATGTAATTTATATATTTAAATATGTATATTTTTGGGCTGGTGAGATGGCTCAGTGGTCT